ATCCTGCCGCTAATCAGAAGGGCCCAGATGCCTTATTTTGTCCTCCCTTAGGAGGCAGATTGTTGTGCCTCATTTTCTAGGTGAGGCTGGCCCAGAGACGTAGGCTGCATGGTGGAGACCACAGCAGGGCAAGGCTAGAGTCTGGAAGGCTACAGCTGCAGCCGTCCAGCCTCCTGGTGCCCAGGGTTGGGACTTTTTCAACATCTGGAGGGCACCAGCATCAAATTGCCCCCAGAGATAAGAGCAGGAAAGAACACATTCCCCTCCATTTAAACCTTCCACCCCTGGAGTCTAAGAACATTTAGCACTTGATTCTATGAGAAAGCAAAGAAGCAAACCCTTCTAGAGGTGGTTGGTTATGATGTGAAAAGTCACACTCCCATGGTCCAGAACATGAGTGCTTGCATCTTTCGACCTCCCCCTTTTAGGACCAGAAGGTAGAGCTCTCTTTTCTCCCATCATTCCTGAACCATTACCCAAACATGCCCCTGATTTAGTATTTGCTAAGGAGGGTACTGGGACCTGTAGGAACTGTTCCCAGGCAGGACTGTAGGAGGACCAGAGTGAAGTGTCATTAAGATACAGGCTCTGAGGAAGGTGGGGCCACAGGGAAGGTGAGGACGCCCCTTTCCTCTCCTTCCAGCTCCACCAAAGGGGAGGAGCCTGGCAGGAAGTGGAGGAGGGTCTCAGAGCCCCACACAGCCTTCTGCCTCCTCCCCCACTTCTTCCTTCTATGTCACCTGGGGAAAGGGGCACTGAGGTGCAACCCTTCATGACGGGCACCTAGCTAACGGTGGGGGTACTCTCATGGGAACTGTGGACCACGGACGAAGCCTCAGGGTGGAGGGTACAGGAGTCCAAGTTGGGGACTGCTCAAGAGCCACACAAGGTGGGCACCTGTGAGGGGTGGCCAAGGGTCCCTATCAGGCAGCCAAGAACAGGTGGGACCAGCCAGGCGGGGGAGCATCTCCTCTCATCAAACCCATGTCTGTTGACCCCAGAACTAGGTTGGCCCACAGGATTCCGGGAACCCCTGGGATTACACTTTTATAAAAGCTACCATGATGGCAGCCACTGGACCCAAACAGGGAAGAGCTGAAGGTTGTAGGGGTGGATACTGGTGTTCCTTCTCTCTAGTCTTGACTTTTTCAGGGTCTTTAGTGATGGAGACACACACATAATTCACTGCTAGTAGAAAATAAACTTTGAATTAGACTGGGGTTTTCCCTCCAGTGCTAGGGAGTCACCCAGCACAGCCTGGGGCCAGACCCCTAGCTTCTCCAGGCTCAGAGACTGCCCGGCAAAGGCCTCTGCATGGTGGCCAGTGGGGAGAGGCTGTGATCAGCATATCTAGGGTCAGCCTCAAAGGGTTTGGGATGAACCTCCATCATCGTGGAATCCTTGAAATTCAGTGTGTTTAGAAGCCCTTCATATTCCTAAATTTGACCATCTCTGGAGTTCTCTGTACCTACTGTACAAACTCACAGATCTACTCTTGATCCAAAAGTAGCCTCTTTCAGGCTTCCAGAGCCCCTCTGAGGTTCAGGTCCGCGGGGTTTGGGGCCATCTCATTATTGAGAGTCATAACTGCCCTGGTCTTAGTGACAGCGTCAGAGGGACTGGTGGCAGCTCTCTCCAGTCCTCCGTGGGTCACTGGAGGTCCACGCTTCCCACCTCCAGCTCTGGCCTGCCTCCCTTGAGGCCAGAGGCTGGGACTGCCCACGGGATACGTTCCTCCTCTTCTTTGCTTCCAGCATGAGTCTCAGCACCATGTTGATGACAGCACATGGGGTCAGAGCTTTAAAGAATATTATGTGGAGACGTGGAGCTAGGGAAAGGGAGGCAGAGCAAAAGGAAAAACGAAGAATATTATATGGGGATTCCCAAGGGCTTCTCCAGGGGAGGTGGGGAAGGAGTCGATATTTCTGAGTGCTCTCCGTGTGCCAGGCACTCTACTGAGTGATGCGGGGAGGGTGAGGTGCGTTTCATACAAGGGCACTCAGGTTCAAAGGGATAAGAAGTTTGCCTGGAGTCTCCAGCACCTAAGTGATGGCTGCCCAATCTCTAGTCTTCCCACCATGCTGAGCTCTTGAGAAGCCTCATCCAGGAAAGACAGCAGCGCTGCTGAGCATGGACAGAACTATCATTAGTGCAAAGCTAGCACGATTGGATTAAGTCACCACTCAGAAAATGTTTAGTGAAGTTTGGGGGGATTGAACACAAGGAGCTTCAGCCCAGAGTGAGGTCCATAGGCACCGAGAAAAGTGGCAGAAAAAAACACCCCATCGTAGCCCGATTTAATGAAGCAAATCATATCATCCTCCACATTTGTGTTGCACGTTTCAGTGTACATCACATTTTCACTTCCTTTATCTCTTCGGACCCTTGAGTTTGCCAGAGGGTTCAAGTATGGAGGAAGGGCCTTGGAGGGCTCCGGGGCCAGGGGGAAGGATGGGGATGGGCACTCCTGTGGGTTGATGGGGGTGTTGTTTACACTGGGTGAGGATCTCTGAACAATTTAGAAGTGCAAAACAATCTACACAATGGGACCTACGAAGCAATTTCCACTTTGGGGATTATTCCCCAGGGACACAGACCCATTGAAAAAGAAATAATAAGTACCGGGGTGTGTTCAGCAGCCGTGGGAAGTCTGGGGTGTTTTCCTGATTGGGGCCATCAGCTGGAAATAACCTCTGCCTCCTTTTACCTTATTCTGTGGTTGTTTTTGAACATCTTATTCCCCTTACGAGAATGGAAGCTCTTTGAGGATTCATGCCTTTTATCTCTTCATTCATTCACTCATTCTCTTCTTTACAAATTGACTGATTCAACAAGTAGTCATTGTGCCTTTCACGTTCCAGACCTCATCCCAGGCAGATGAGTATACCCCGAGGAACACAGGACACGATCTTTTCTCTGCTAGAGTTTACAGTCTAAGGGAAAGAGAGACAACAGCAAACAAATAAATACCTAATGGTAAAATACGTACAGAAATTTCACATTGTGAAAACTACCCTGAAGGCAACAGTTAAGATATAGTGGTGAGAGCACAGCCCTGGGAATGGGGAGATCTGGTAGCTGGCACCATCTCAGGCCCAGGAACTCAATGAGCATGTGCGGAGTGGATTGAATGGATGGAAGGACAGTGCCAAGGAAAGAACTCAAATAGCCACCCAGCCGGAGACGGCAAGGCAAGGCACGCTGTGTCCAGGTGTTTGCCTCACCGTACAGTGACTTTAACATAACGGGTTTTAAAAAATGGTAATAAAAGTACAGGATCTTGCAATGCACAGCAGTCCATACCTGGACAAGTTCAAATGTAAAATTTAGACAGGGCAGCGTGCACATACTGATTGCGAGGACACACAGGTGTTCACACAGACCCACATCCTGCAGAACCAGAGCCCCAAACAGGACCTCAAGCGATGTCTGGCCCACCCACTCCTGCCATGTGAGAAAGTGATCTTAGGTCCGAGGGGACAATGCCTTTTTTTTTTTAAATCTGAAAAGTGCATTAGGCTCTGTCTAAATGTGTTTTAACAAACTACACTGTGAATTCAGGATTTAAGGGTTGTTGATTTGTAGAGTCACCTAAGTTTCCGAGTAAAGGCTTCTGGGTGGGAAAGGGCAACTGAGGTGCCCCAGGTGGCAGGTTTGTTGGGTTTTGTTTTTGTTTGCACCTGAGTCAGTGGCTGGTCCCCAGGGCACTGTATCTAGGTGCCGCGTGGAGAGCAGAGACCAATCCAGAAATTTCACGGGTGTAGGCTCTGAATCCAGGTGCTGAGGTGGCCTCCAGGGAGCAGAGTATGCACGGACAAGGATCCCAAGCCCCGTGTTCTGGATGGCCTTTGAGGCCCTCCTCAGGAGACCCGGCCAGGCTGGACACCAGCTGAGGGTCCAGTGCTTCCTGCCAGGACACCAAAACAGGGGCAGCTTTCCGAGTTTTGTTTTGTTTTTTCTCTCAGCTCCGATTCTGCTGGAAAAACAGCCAAACGCTCACTCGGGTCAGAGCACCCCGGCCTAGCAACACCTGCAGCGAGGGGGCCGGAAGTCAAGCTAGAACGGAGGAGGAACCAGCCTGTGCTGACACCAGGGCCCCGAGGGACTGGGCTGGATTCCCCCAGTGGGCAGCCGGCTATGTGCCCACCAAGGGGCCTTGGGGCTGCATTCTGGGAGGAAGAGGGCTGAGGAGAGGCCCAGAGCTGGACTCCTGAAAGGATAGCCCAGTGGCGTGATGTCTTGACCTATTAGGAAGGAGTGGGGCCTTCAGGGCTTTGGGACTTGTGACTGAGGGGAAACTTTGGACATGGCAAAGCTGTCCCAGATTCCCTACAGACTCTTTCTCCTCTAGCTCAAGGAAGGAGGGAGGCAGCTGCGATGTAGTGGAAAGGATGCTGAGTTTGGAGTGAGAAGGTCTGTATGTGACTTCCGGTCAATTATGGTAATAATCTCCCTGGGCCTTGATTTCCTCATTTGTAAAGTGGGGATGGTGCGACCCCCCTTCCAGGGTTATGCTGGGGCTTAAGCAGGATCATATAAAGGAATGTGAAGGTGCTCAGTAAAATCTTATTGGCAGTTAAGGGATGTTCAATACGTAAGTGTTTGGGGGGCCCAGTAAAAGATTTTGGCTCATGTTCTGCATCTTGGTTGTGGTGGTGGTTATACACATCTGAACACGTGCTTTAATTCACTGAGCTGTACACGCAAGAAAACCAAGTCCATTTTACAGTAGGATAATTTTTTTTAGAAGCCAGCCTCTGGTTCAATTTGGGACAAGTTTTATGATTCCAATTTTGTAGATAAAGCAACTTAGATCTGATGTTCCTCGTCTCCACCAGCCTCATCCAGCTTTGTTTCCATGGCCTAAGTCAGTTCTGGGGGCCAGGGACCCAGTGGACAGATGTGGGGGACACCCAGAGTGTGAGCCTCTAAAACAGAACAGACTGGGGTGGGGGTGCTTCCCCATCAAACCATGAAGGCAGTGCCTTTCGGGGGTGTCTGGTGGACGAGGCAGGCCTCTTTGCTCAAGTGATTCTCTGCCAATAGGACTTCGATGCATTAGGGAAAGTGACTTATTCAAAGGTACTAAGTTGTCTTTCAAAAAAAGCCAAGGCCTCCCCAGAATCAAGCAGGGGGAGACCCTGCTGGGGGGAGAAGTGATGACTCCCTCCCACCCCCAGCCGGCTGCCCAGGGTCCCTGGTGGAGGTCGAGGACAGAATTAGCGCCACTATGCAAAGCAGCAGGAGAGGAAGGGCTCCAGCTCAGTGGAGGCAGATGCCAAAACAAGCCAGTTTCCTCTGGCAGCCCAGAGACCAGGGAGGGAGCAGGCCTGGCCCCCTTGGCCCAGCCTGGCTCTGAGTGGGCGCTGTTTGCCTCAGAGACTGACTTGAAACCCTGGGCATGGGGGCCTGGGCCACCTGCCCCCTCCACCAAATTCCAAGGAGGAGCTGGTCAAAACAGGTGCTGCGCTCACTGGTCTGGCCTTGGGTCTCCAGCTAAACTGGCAGCACCTTGAGGGCAGGGATTTCTCCCACCCGAATCCAGAGCGTAAATGGCAAAGAGGTGTTCTGGAGTCCCTCCAAGGTCGACAAGAGATGGAGCTCAGCCTGGCTCTGTACATGGAGCTTAACTGCATTTCGGCTCCCAGCTGTGAGCCGCGCCCAGTCACCCCCACAGCTGGCAGGCTGGGGCCCTGATTTGTAGGCCCATAGAGTCCCTTTTGTGGGGACCTTGGGGGGCCTAGGGGGCATCTGATGTGATGCTGGGAATAACCTTTAGTCACCTGACTAAAGCCCCCCAGACTTCACTACACAAAGCCTTTTGCTTTAGGAATCTCTCTCTGACAGCTCTGGGTCAAACTTAAAAAAAAAAGGCCCAGGCTTGGTGGGGACAGTAGGGTGTGGCAGAGGCAGGGGAAGCCCTACCCGCAGGGAGCTTCTAGTTTAACTGGAGAACAAGGTCTGCACAGGGAATATGGGGCAGTACCTACCCAGAGCTGCAGAGGCTGGGGTCCCAGCGGGGACTGGGCAGGGACTGGGGAGCTTTGGGAGTGCTTCCTGCAGGTGGAGCGCCTTGAAGGACAATAGGATTGGGGTGGCTGGGGGATGGCAGTCTCCTCCAGGGCTGAGACTTGACCTGCAGCACAGGACGCTGGTGCTGCTCATCACCAGCTGAAGGTGATACAGGTTGATGGCATCCGGCCGAGGAGAAGGGCCAGTCCCATCAGCCCTTCCCCATTGCTGGGGACCCAGCAGGGGAAGAAAGCCCATGACCACAGGTCCCAGCTGGGCCTTCAGAGAGAAGCAGCGAGTAAGCCCAGGAGAGGGCCTTTCAAACACCCCATGGGCCCGCGGGCACCCAGACATTTGTGCCCAAACAGATACTGTCATCCACCCCGTCCCCATAGATGTCACAAGCCTGTGTGTGGTTTCTCAAAACACACTGTTTATTCTGTGGGAGAGTGGGCTCAAGGCCAGGAGCCCCCCGGGGCGGCAGAGGGTGGGAGAGAATGGGAAAGGGATGAAGCTCTCGGCGGCCCACCTGCAGCCTTGGTGGGTGGGCCATGGCCCTTCCCAGGCTCTACAGGAAGCCGGTCTCATCTGAGTCCATTTGCAGGTTCCAAACAAGTCTCTGCCTTCCCCGTCCTGAACAGGAATGGATCCCAGCATAGCACCCTCGGAGGGCTGGGTCCAGTCTATCCCCAGAGAACTCCCTGCTCCAAATCACGGCCCTGTGGCCCTTCCAACCCAGTCTCTTTGGCAAGAGCTGGGGACCAGGGGCTGGCGGGGCAGGTGAATCTGGTGGGCCAGTTTGGAGGCTGACTGGGGGAGTCCAGGGAAAAGAGGGTGGGCTGGGAGCCAGGGCGGCTCTGAAGCAGTCAGCGAGGGCCCAGCGGGCTGAGCCCAGGGCGTGGAAGGGTGGCCCCTCACTCCTGGCCTGGGTGCTCACCCACCGACCACTTCACCTCCCCTGTCCGCAGAGTCACTATGTCCTCATAAGTGGCTGTCTGGTCAATGTCCAGGCCCTGGAGACAATGGAAGGGAGCTCAGGCCTTGGCCACTCACTGACCATAGCAACAGATGGCGCCCCTGACCACCCCCCACTGCCCTCAGAGCTGCAGGGTCCACCCTGCTCCTTACCTCATAGGTGTGATCTTCCTCCATCCCGGCCTTGCTGTCATCCTGGTAGGGAGAGTGATGGAGAGCAGTGTTATCTTTCCCCACCCATCTACCGCTGGGCCAGGCTGGGATAGGGCCAGGGAGACTGGCCTAGGGTCAGGGGTCAGGGGTCAGGGGTGAGGTGCAAGAACAGCTGATGAATGAAGGCGTGATTGGACAGGTGAGCCAATGGACGGGCTCTGGGGCTGAGGAAACAGAGACCCTGCCCATGTCTGATCTGCCCTGCAGCCACTTCCCCCGCCCCCACGGTCACCTTGTCCAGCAGCAGGAAGATGGGCACAATGATAAAGAGGATGATGAGCAGGGTCTGGATCATGATGATGGTATCTTTCAGCATGTTCCGCCGATTCATTTGTGCCAAGGTGCTGAACCCTGGGGAAAAGCAGGGCGGGGACGGTGAGGCTGGGGGCCCTCTTTGGGGCCACACCTCTCAGGACTTGCTTCTCAGGGGCTCTCCTGGATGCTCGAGGGCCATGGTCCCTCCCACAGTGTTGCCTCCTACTGGCAGCAGGATGGGCTGGGCTGGGGGTGGGGTGGGGTGGGGTTGGGTACGGATGGCTCCATGTGTACCCCTGTTCTCCTCCCTGGCTTGAAGGCAGGCCCTGCACACACCCATGACCCGAAGCTCCGTGCCACATCCATGCTCTGTCCTCGAGGACTCCTTCCGGCATTCCTTCCTGCAGAAGTAGATGCCGTTGTCCTGAAACTGGATGCCCTGGATGACGAGGGTGGACGTGGAGCCATTAAGGCTATAGGAGATGCGGCCCTCTTCATAAGGAAGTGACTTAGGCTCTGGGTCCGTCTCCTGCTTCCGGAACCAGCTCACATGGTCCATGTCATCCATGGACTCCATGTAGCACTTGATTTCCACCGTGGAGCCCCGTTTCTT